GGCCTGAGGGTGCAGACCGGGTCACTGGAGGCCCAGAGAGCAGCAGTGGACTTGTTCATGTAAGGCCCGGGGGAACGACGCAGTAGCACCTTCCACTGTCGAGGGATATTATGGGCTGTTTGTGAGCCAGGCAGGGAGCGCATTTGGAGTTTGCTTATGAAGCCTGGTTCATGCATTCAGGTCCAACGACTAAACATATTTATTTCATGACGACTGATGAAGTGTCTGATGAATTGTTTTATTTTACAATCCCACGCTGGTGGTCTGTGTCAGAGCAACATCCAGGTGACGGTTTCCCAGCAGAACATTGCTTTGTATCAGGATGATCAAGTCTGTTGGATTTATTGTTGGCGCCGGTCCGTATGTACCTCTATACTCTCTCGCTGCTTCTATTTTTCCTTTACAAAGAAAAAAAGTGATTGGTTTTTCCACATGAAGAGTTGGACGCCATAACATTACAGCGGCAAACTCGGAAAAGAAAAGCAATAAATCGATTCTATTCTATTTCCAACTCGGCGTCACCTGCTGCTGCTTTAGAGTCGCTGCCCGACGTGGACGTGCTGATTACATCTCATGACTGGCTGCGGTTCAACCAATTCCAAACAAATTTTTTTTACAACCTTTCTGAAGTTTCTCATGGCGGTCATTCGCTTTATTGGTGTCTTCAAACGTGGCAATTCTGAAATAGGCGTTCATAAGGTTGGCAGTAGCACAGAACGGAGAGACGGATCCACAACGGTTACCTGTACTGTTTTCTTTCTTAGCGCAGCCTGTTTTTTTATTAGCTGTCAGTTGTGCAAAGGGGTGGAAATGATGTTCTGGGAGTTTTTGGGTTTATAATTTGAGCAATCTTCAGGCTGAGGTGCGGCTGTGCTCGATGCTGGGGATTTATTTATGGTAGCTCAGCAGTCGGTTACGTTCGGCGTTACAAGGAGGGGGTGGGGAAGCACCTTAGGGCTCCTAACAAGGTTATTCATCTTCACACTGGGCTGACACCCGCACGCACTTTTATTGTGGCGTTTAATGGGCTGCTTTGAAGGGCGCTTTCTCAGCCCGAGTCCGTGCACGACTCGGACAACAGAAGTGAACGGTCGCTTGAGAACGTTGAACCGAAGCGCACGGAGTTGGGAACAATCGCGAGCCGAGGTCTCCCGGGGGGCTTTCTCCTGATAAATAGTTCGCCTCCTCCTCCTCCCCGCAGCCATCATTAAAAATGTCAAATCATTAAAAGCTGCAGTTCTCCATAATCGCCAGCCTCCTTACTGATGGGAGACGTCTCCTGGCCTCTTCTTTTCTCTCGTCGAGCGTGTTAAATTGCATTCCCAAGTGTTTGTGGGCTAAATTGGAATTCTGCCTCAGTTGCTGCAAACTGATTGTCCTGGTAATTATCAGTTGGTGATAAAATGGCAAGGACGCGGCAGAGCTGTACTGACAGTGAAGCAGATGCGCACAAACACCTGTGCACTAGTTGGAAGGCTCCTTTTGCATTTGGTGGTTTAGGAACAAGGGCAGAGTGTTCTGGAAAATAGGGCCAATAGAGTCAGAAAGAACTTGTGTGTGACGTTGCCTTACTGCGTCAGAAGACAGATGTTTACAGCTGTTCAAAATGGACACACTTGAAGGTGGCGCAGACTTTCTTTCAGTTCATGTAAAAAAAAATAAGCCAAATAAAGTTTCATTAACCAATTTATTGTAAGTGTCTCATTCAAAATCAAAATCCAGGGACCGTTCAGCTGAACTGCAGGCTGTGTTCACTCAGAGCAGACAGGAGACGAGTATAAAAACGAATCAGAAAGACAAAATAAAACGTGCTTAACTGAAAATAGAATAACTGCAGCATAACTTTGACACCATACAGATGTTGGTGGAGGATGCATTCAGCAAATATATTAGTGGAATTAATGTGCAGTCGTGTGGAAAAACACGTATTTTGTAGAGATTGTGGGGAAAAAAAAAAAAGAAGTACCGTAATTTCTGGACTATGGGTGCACCTGAATATTAGCCACACCCACTAACTTTACAAAGAGACTCCAGGACTTGCTGTAAAAAATGAGCCCACAGTCAGTGACTTGACAGGAGCAGGAAATGTCCAGAACCTGCTTTGGGTTCAGAAGGTTAAATATATATAAAAGATATTAGTGCCAGTAATAGAAGGACATTCAAATCCTGGCTCCTTTCTCACCTCCACGAAGCTCACAAGTGACTGAATGAGGTTGGTGTGAATGTCCTTTTTTATGTTTCACAGTGTTATAGAAGTACACACGCCATAGATCAGCGCTGTAAAGGAGGTGGGAGTTTCCAAAGCTGTTCAGCCACTTAGCGAGCAGGTCTGATGGAGTGTACGGTCACCTTGACTCTTAATTTCAAATGCATCGACTTAACCAAGGTGAAAGCTTGAATTAGCGGCGTTTCCTCTTTAGAAAAGCCCCATCTGGGCCTTATGTTGCCAGTTATCGTATTGAATTGAGAGCATAAATGTGTTTAATGTGTTAAAGCTTCACACATAGTATGGGCTGCTGCTTCGACAGGGGTTTCTATGCTGATGAATATTTCCGTATCATTCACATCACCTTGACTTTCCACCCCAGCGCCCTCCACCAGCTCGTCGTGTGCGGGCCGGGCGGGAGGAAACAGGTGGTGAGGTGTGAGGGCCGTTGGAAATGGGGCCGGTGTGTAAGCCATGTAAGCCGCCGTGCTGTTTGGTCGGACCACAGACGATCAGGGCCCGGATCAGTCCGATGTGTGCATGTGTTTGCTTGTTCTTCCTCTTTTTGGATGGAGACATTTGGAAGAAACGCACCCTGCTGTCACAGTGCATTTTTGAAAAGGCTATATCTGCAATACGCTTAAAAAGACTCTGAAGTGTAGTTCGTTGTTGTGTTGCTGTCGTCATGGGGTCGCAGGTGAATGCCAATGCTCACCGCCGTAAACTCTGACGCCTTACTCCGGTGCTGCAGCTCTTTTAATCGTTTTTAGCAGAAGCCACGAGGCTCCATTGATAGATTGGTATTACAAGTTTTCCAAACACTCCCCGTCGCCAATCCAGCGCTACTTTCATCACCAAACACTCTGCTGTTGCTCATTTGAATGCATAATTGTCAAGATGACACCCAAAGTGTGTTTGCATGGCGGGAGTGAATCAGGATTGTAGACTGGCAGTCCATATTAATCAGTGAAGGTGTCTTCTTGATCAGAAATAAAAATCTATTCTTCTTTTAATCACTTGCCCTGATAAATGTATCCTCATTTACATATTTGAGGAACTGTTCCTCTATTTAAGGCTAAAAATACTTGTGGTTTAAGCACCTATAGATGCACTGATTGCTGCTAATCTCCACAAGTGGCCCAAACTGTGCCGGGCAGCACTTGAACACTCAGCAGACGGAATTACTGCTCCACCGTCGCAACGCTCGTTAAGGAAGAGCAGCCAGCACTTTAAGTGCTTTTTTTAACAGATGGAGTTTTAGTGGAGTAAAGCGGCAGTGCTTGACCACGGGGAGTAAAGTTGGTGTTGGAGCTGCCGCAGTGCACCCCTCTGCCTGTCACCGCTCTCTGGGCCGCACTGACTCATTAACGAAACCCACATCCACAACATTTACAGCACTATGAAGAGTTATCTGGTACATGCTGCACATTTATCAAGTAGATAACAGCCCCAGCAGCATTCCTCAGAGCTGTTCATCAAAATCAGTTGATTCATTGATTAGTAAAACATCTTCTTAAACAGAAAAGTCGTATTTTTGCTTCCAACTAATGTCAAAATCGGTTCAATGATTTAGTCACTTTCCACCAAAATGATGAAGCTAAATGTTCCAGCTTCTCAAATTACTGCTCGTCTTTGCCATATATCGTTGTGAACATTATTTCTAAGCATTTGAACTTTAAGTCCAATTAAACCCAGAGGCTTCAAGATCTCAGCTTTGGTTCTGCAAAGTTGTGGTGGACAGTTTTTAAAAATGTTTTATAGACCGAGCAATAAATAGATATCCATCAGCTGCAGCGAGGGGTTGGCTCATGTGACTAATAACCGATGTTTGGAACAGATGTATATTTACAGTGAAAAATGTAGTTGTTTGCTTGCTTTTCTGTCACTCTGCTGCTGTGACGTTGTAAATTTCCCCTTTGTGGGACTAATAAAGATTATTCTATTCAAAATTTGCAATGACAAAACTCTGACAACAAAACTTTTAGTCCTTTGGTGCTTAGAGAATGTTGTTTTATTTGGGAAACTGTTAAAATAAAACACTAATAATGTCCAGAAAAATGATGAATCTAGCATTGATTGGCGTATATTGACCTGTAGTTGTAGTTAAATGAAAGTTATGTTCACCACCGTTAACGTTTAACGTCCTGCGTTGCTTTCATCAGCGTCCAGTAGCGGTCGGCCCTCGTCTTTCCTGCCTATGTTGGCATTTCTCAGCGTCTTCCTGCAGCCTGTTGATCACTGGAATGTGTGCACATCCCTGCGGACGGCTAATAAACCAGAGGCCCACTCATGTATAAGTGGCTACCGGAGGTCTGCAGATTCCACAGGACACTTTTAACAACACCCCCCCTCTTTCTTTTTAATGTTTGAAGAGGAGTCGTTTTAAAATTTGATGAACATTAAGACTGCGCAGGCTCATGAATATTCACGGCGACGGAGCCCCCCTCCGCTCTTTATTCCTTCCTTCCTTCCTTATCTGTCCTTGTCCTCTTATTTCAAATTGCTTCATGTTGGCCTGAATTTGAGCAGGACCCAAACAAACACGGGTTTTCTCAGGAGAGCACCCACCGGCACTTTAGTGGCTCCTGAATGCATAATGCACGACGCTGTGTCGGGCCGCTGCCTCTGATTGTTCTGTCGAGTGTTTGGGCTCATTAACGTGTTCTGTCGGATTAATGGCGTCGCCTCCTGCGCTGCTGTAAACGGAGTGGCGTGCGGCGACCTACAAGACGAGCCTGTGTCATTAAGCTCATCGTGGCGTCCTTAATCAAACCTGTGGGTCTTTTCTCGACAGGAAACGGGCCGGGCTTTGCGAGCTGCTCCCTGTTGACCCGGGAAAGATGCACTTCTCTCAAGATCCCTGCACTCACATGGATTAAGAGGTTTGTTTCCGATCCTACGACTCTGCTCATCCACCTCCGCTACACGCTGCAGCACCGGCGTCCTACTCAGACTTCAAAGCCGCCTTTCTTTGTGTTAGCTGATATTAGCGCTGATAGAAAGATGACTTTCTTTCCATTCAGCAAAGCAAGCGATACGCCTTTGTTTGATACCGACAAAGTATCCCGCCACTGACGGGAGCCGCTTGATTTGTCAGAGAGGTGAAGACGGACGGATCTGCGTCACATTCCATAACCCAGCTGTGGAAACCCGATCACGCCGACTCACCTGTAGGCGCAGGGAAGCTGAGCCAAGGCGGCTGCTAAATTTTTCAACGGGTCCCAACCCAAACGCAGCTGATGGGCGCTACGGGCTCGGCGGGTTTTGGCTAAAGTTTCAAGCCGCGGAAGCCGACATCACTAACCTGATTGTTACAGCAAACTTCAGAACTGTGATACAACATGGCACCGCTGCTGCATATGAGGTTACAGAAAGAGTCCGATTACTGGGGGAGAAAAACACCTTTTGTTCTGATCTTCCTCTTGCCAACGTGTTATTTTATTCATATGAAGTCCATCAGACTTTAGGGAGGGGAATCCTGACTTTTCTAATGGAAGGAAGAAAAGATCACTTACTAAATAATGCACAATAATGTCAAAGCACTGCAGAACAACGAAGCCACAAGGCTGCGGTCACCATGATAAAACCACACAGGAGCAAAATAAGAGCAAAAGTGTGTTACCAGGTGAGCTTAAACTAAACCTACAGACGAGTTGCTTCAAAGCATTAAACCGATTGCGTAACCACGTGGAACCTGCTGAATGCTGAGCGACGCACATTATGTTTTAATACATGAGACCAGTTTATATACAGCAGATGGGTTCAGACCCTCCCATTAAAGAAGGAAAAAAACTGGAATAAGCTGAAATTGACAAAAGTAGTAAAAAACAAAAAATGTTATAAAAATCATGACATTGCTTTTGAATTGTGGTTCAACAGAAATATTAAAAAACAGTTGAAACAGGACAGTTTTTTTTTTTAAATTATTCTTTTCAACCACAATTCAAAAGCAAAGTCTTGTTTCACTAGGTTGTAATTTAGCAAATTTTTATTTATTATTATTTTTTCAGTTTCTAGTTATTTCAGTGACTGTTGTGAATTTTTCCTTTTCTTTAATGGAAGGGGTATGAATAAAATTGAGGACTGTATCGCACCAGTTCAACTGGAAAAACGGTGTTTGAAGAGAGAAAAACAGTCCAATATGTCGGTCCTGTTAATAAATGTTGTCTTTGCCTGAATTTTGGAAATGATGTTCAGAAATGTTTTGTTGGGCTGAGCGATCACATTCCTCCAGCTGATGATTGCCGACGTATTTGCAGCGAGTTCGACACGATTTGAAAAAGAGTCGTCATCGATGTGTTTGTGGCGGCCTGCTGCAATATCAGCACTGACTGCAACATATATATTTTAAGATTTGCTTCTTAAAATGGCTAAAACCCTTTTTCAGTGTGTAGCTGTGTTTCTGTCTTGCTCACAAACAAGTCCTCCTCTCCAAGCACACTCTGAACCAGAACATGTCCCCCCAGAATAGAATCAGTTTGGAATTCACAAATAGTTAGCATCACGAACACGTCTGCACAAAACTGATGCGTCCAATTTAACTCCGATCTGTTCTCAGCAAACCAAACTCTCTAATTCAGTTGTTGTAAGCATGTGAGGAGCGCTTACTGTTCCACATCCACGACTATGAACTGTACCAGGAACGTCCTGTATTAAGGCAAGCGTCTCTACTCCAGGCCTGCAAGGTGGCTCAGTGGTTAGCATCGTTGCCTCGCAGCTAGAAGGTCGCCGATTGGCGTCCCGGTGAGGACTCCCGGGATCTTTCTGCGTGGAGTCTCCATTACCTCTTTTCCACCAAACTGGTTCCAGTGCTAGTTCCGTGCTAGTGCCTGACTTAGCACCAGTTCTTTGTGTTTCCACCGCCCAAGCACTGGCTCCAGATTCTCAAAACTGGTTCTTAGCAGGCACCAACTCTTTGCTGGGCCAGAGCTAAGCAGCGAGTACGTCAGGGGCTGGGGGCGGGGCTATCGCGACAACTGAGACGATGAATGGGACGCACAAGCGGTGATTTGTGTCGTTTTTGGCCAGGACGTCCCCGGTCCGATCACAGATGCATTGGAATGAGACACACGGAAGTTTTGCACAAACTGTTGCGCCCTGAAAGCCGGTACAACTGTGTCCCACCAGCAACGCCTTAGCTCGTAGCTAACTAGCCTTCACTGTCTAGATTTAACAGTTGCACAAATCAGGTGTTTTCCCAGAAGTGCAGCAGCTCTCGAGGCAGATGTCGTGGAGGGTTCTCGGGGTCTTGAGTCCATTCATACAGAGAGCAGAAGGGTTCCCTCTGAACAGCCACTCTATCAGAGCGCTTCCATGGATACCACATACCGCTCTCCATTGTGTACTGAGTCCATGTAGGAGCTTTAACAACATTCAAAATACTGTTTTAAACCATGCAGCACAAAACTGGAAAAATGTCTGATTTACAACAGAGATAACGAATCAACAAGTAGCAGTGATTGCAGTGCGTGATGGCAGACGGGTGCTGATTTGGTTTGGCAGCACAACTCTGGAGTTTGAGCAGCCAGAACCAGCATTCAGCACCAGCAAGGCTTGTGTTTGTGTCCTTACAGTTAATGAGGCAGCAACACCCGCCTCTCCTTCAGGAGGAAGTCGGTTGAAGTGACCCCCGCTACCCTCACATGCTCCCTATTTTCCACATTCATTGACCCGAGTGCTCACAATAGATCCCTCAGTTGTCGTTCTCACCGAAATAGCAGCAGACTTCGTCCAGCGTGGTCGGAAGTGGACCACCAGACAATGACGGCAGGCTTTGTGCAGCTCCGCTTGTAATGTGTGTGCAGCCTACTTTCTAATCACATTAACTTGTGAAGGAGCCTGTTTGTGATGACAGAGATGCAAGTCATAGCTGAAGCAACCAGTAGTCCATGCAGCCGGCTTTCCTGTCTCTCTGGAAGACTTTTATGGCTTCACCAAAAGGTTTTCCTCGTATGACTCCATTACAGCTGCACATGTCGGCGCATAAAAGATGCAGATGGATTAACTGGGTGTATTGATTATTAGTGAATCAGTTGTTTCTTGATCAGAAGTTTAAAGCTACCGTCTATAGATCATCAGAACACTCAAGACCATGCTGTCATTGTTTATTCAGATCAGAAGTCCTTATGACACCAAATTATTGATTATTTGTGATTATATGTGGAACAATTTTCCACAATTGTGAGCCAGGACCTGTCGAGTTTTTCTTTATCAAAGCGATGCTGATTGGTTTTATCCATCGATTAATCATCTAGACATTCAAACTGAGCTTTAATATTAATAAAATCTGTGAGTAATTCTTTCTTTCATCCGACTGTTTTCTATTGAAGCTCTGATTTGAGCAATAAATGAGTCTTCCTGCATCACAATCACATTAATAATCTGTTCTCATAGATCAGATTATGACGGTAAGCACCGTGAACCGTACAGTCTAAATATGTAAAAAACAAACCTGAGTATTCTGGGAAAATCCACACAGACACAATGCGCTTAACATCCAGCGTCTAAACAAGCAGACACTTAACTTTAAATGTCCTCCTTCTCTTTGATTTGGAGACGACCGAGCTCTCACTTATGCACAGCTTGCATCCATGATTTCTAACTTGCAGTGGAAATCATTTCCTTGCCACTGTGGGGTTGTAAGGTCAGAGCTGCTCTGTGATAATCCTTCGCCGTACAACGAGTCTCCGGCGCTCTGGGGACCCGCCGTGGAGGCAGCTTTACCTTTTATGTCTGGAGTGTTTGGATTGCGATCCAGTGTGTGTGTGTTTGGACACAAAGAACTGCTTTCTCACAGAGAGTTAACTTTGGCTGCTGCTTCCAACACGCGGTTGCCAACAGATTCGTCTCCTGGGTAAACGCAGACATGGAGACAGCAAACCGCTTCTCATCCTGGCTGCTGGGCGTGTCTTCGTCTGAGGAGCAGGAAGTCATTTTGACAAATGGGCCTATTATTGACCACGTTGGCGGACAAGAATCTTTGATCTGCACACTGTACAGTCATCCATCTACTTGGTGATGGATGAAAGGTTTTGTCCTCGTGATGCAGTTTGTTTTGTTCTGCTTTGTTTCCACCGAGGTGTTGCAGTCCTTTAACCCGAACCACCGTAGTTTCTCCGTTCCTTGTGTCCATCTTTTCTTCACTCTTGGTGTTGCAGTCAACGGGAGACGACCAGAATGTCCTTTTTCATGAATCATAATTTGCTAAATGAGCATACAAACCCACTAAACCAGTGCAGTTCTGTCAGTACAGCACCAGGCCACGTCAAAACACGGTGGTCCTGCAGCGTTAACCTTGTTGAATCTGTTATGAATGTGGTGAGTGTGCGGTTTTTTTTTTTTGTACAGTGAAGGCTACAGTGTGACTTCTTATTTTTTTCTTGCCTCGTGCGTTAATGTATGCAGAATTCAGCATAAAACCCTCGTAGGACTGGAGAGTGCAAGCAGCCAGAGAGGAATGCTGTTGTGCGTTCGCCGAGGAGGGAGGGGGGGTAACAAGCGAGAAGACGGCTTTCTTGTCTCCCGGGGGAGAAAGATGAGAGCGAGAGAAGCATGGATACATAGGTAGAGAGCGGGGGATGGTGTCAAAACCAAGGAGAGACGAAGAGGAGGAAGAAAGGCCTGGGTGGAGCGGCTTGTCATAACTGAGCTCATAGTACAAATACGTCTTACGTTTCAAAATGCCACGCTGGATTTTTTTTTTTTTTATTTGTTAAACTTACAAGATTGAAATCTAAATGAAATTTAAAAGGCACATGTGACGCGGCCGACACGGTGGGAAGGAATAAACCCGGCTGTGGTGTAATAGGGAACCCCGTCCCGGTTATTAGTGAGACCACTAAGAGGCGAACACAGGGTGGTCCGTTAGACAAGCTGAACCTCG